GGGAAAGAGAGTACCTAGTCCAATAACGAAAAAAAAAAGTAATATCCTAGAAAACTTGTGTATGTGTGTATATTACTCCTCCCCTCCCATCAACCATTTCGAGATTGATTAAAAACTTGTGAATTTGAATGGAGTGTTGTGTCTAGTTGAAGAAATAAGTTGTTTGATGTTCGATATCTACGAAAATAATCTTCATAAGACCGGATAAACATTCTCATGAACAATAGGGCAATTGGGGATTAATAGCTATGTCGAGAGCACTGCAGTTGTCACAATACAACATTTCCTGCTTGAAACAATCGACTTGGTCATTCATAAGAAAAGTAAGTAATTGAAGTTCATAAGATGTTGCAGCTAAAGCTTTGTACTCTACTTCAAACGAGAACCAAGCCACACAATGGTTTGTTTCTTGGGCCTCCATGAAACTTGAGAATGGCCTATGAAGAAGCAATATCCATTAATGGTACAACGAGAATCAGAACTCTTACCCATAACCTACATCGTTGAAACCAAAGGAGTGAAGAGGACAAGAGCGAAAAAGGAATAGTCCTTTTAGAGATATCTTTTAAGATATCACAAAGTGCATTTAACAACTTTGAAATGAGTTATTGTTGGCTTGGATATGAACTAACATAACTACTAGACTACATACTTGATGTTAGGTCACGTGGTTGTTAGATATAGAAATTGCCCAATCAATCTATTCTATCTCTAGATGCATCTAAATATATAGATCCATCAAAGGAGAAGTTACAACTACATTATGTCATCCACGTATATGAGGAACTCGATGGAGGAGGATCCATAATATCTAGTGAAAAGAAAATGATTTTTGGTTGCTTAATGAACCAAGCTCCAAAAGTAGTGCAAATAAATGCCCATAACACTTGTGGTTATGTCCATTTATTTTAACAGCAAAGATACATTTATATTAAGTAGGTATATCGCACCATCCCTTTTAAACCATATTTGATGGTAATTTACGTTTGAATAAGATATAAATTACCAACCACGCATAATCCAATTTAAGATGCTTTTCCCACATTGACTTCCTACAATGACCAACAAAAGTACCCATGTCAGATGTGACAATTTTGGATTAGTGCAGATTATTGTTAATATAGAACTCCCTACTTTGGTCACCAGTAAACCTGCTACACCTCATAGCCAAGTCAATTAACATCTGAACATCACCTTTCTCTATGAAATTTCCAATTAGTACATTCGAACCAAAATTCCAACCTAAAATTTGTGATGAGTTTCCCAACATATCCATTCTTCAACATCCTCAAACATGTACTTTCAATCTACAAGTATATCACTTGCTACCTCAAAGCACAATGCCAACACACGCAACCACATACAAAGAGTCTTGAGGGCTATGTTGATATAACGCCTTCCACATACCTTAATTATTATACAAATAATGTATAGTCCTCCATAGCTGAATCCAGTTTCCTGTTGTAGCAGTAATCCTCCATACCTTAACCCATTTGAAAAAGCACATTCAAAGTACAAGTTATAAACATACCAGAAACTAACATATGTGTCCACCCAAAATGATAGTGTAACCACCCTGACCACCGTTCTCTGCTTGCTTAATCCTTATATAGTTAAGCGACAACCAAAATACTTATTTTATAAATTTAAGGTTATTGGATAGACACTCATTCCTCAATTCCTTATGAGTCATAGTGTGACACATCAAACCAGTTCCAGGCACATGTACCACCTCTTATAATTTCTTGACCAGATAACTATAAGATATTCCTTGACCTTGTCATTTCCTTCTCCTTCAGCTTAATCTATACAAATGCCCTACACTAAAAATTAGCACCAGATATGCAAACTCCTGGGTTGGCAAGCCATTGCACATAACTATATTTAAACTAATTGTCTAGTCTTAGCCAAGACCAAGCAGAGAACCTAACATTTTATTTTAACTTCTGAAAATCAAAATTACCAACTCTGAAAATGCATTTGCTCCTATGTCCCCAAATGTTCCATATGATTGCACACCATATAACCTTCCACCTCCTTTATTCAATTTTGGTTGCAATACTAAGTGGAATTTGACGGAAGTGTTGAGCTGTAGAATACGGTAAAACAATAGAGATTAAGGCCCAGTTGTAGCATTATTTCCATAACTTATCTATCTCCCTGCATAAGAAAAAAATATGATTAACTGATTCATCCTTTGCATTACAAAATCTGCATTTTAAGTCTCCCTCTTCCGGAGGGATATTCCTTCTCTTGAGGTTATCTGTGGTTGGCAGCCCATTATGATAGAGTCTCCAAACCAAAATGGCTATTCTTGTGGGGAGCTTCAACTTCCAAACCTCTGCTAACATTGGATCTACTTTTGCTCGATACCTCAAGTAGTGTATACTTTTATAAGTGGATTTAACTATGAACACCATTGTAGTTCCATCAAGCCAACCCCAAGCATCTTGCTTTCCTTTTTCCAATTTAATATTGTGCAACACTGTCATTAATTCATCCCATTGCTCAGCCTCCCATACAAACCAACTTCTCCATTGGAAGTCTCAAACCCACACATCTCCAACCCATTTTCCCATGTTTTTTGGTAGTTGTTGCTGTTGTTCAAAGTTCAAAAATAGCCTAGGATGAGACATAGCTAGGCATTCATCACCCAACCAATTATCCAACCAAAACCTTATCTTATCACCTTCAACCAATTTCCACTCAACCATTCTATCAAACCATTGTGTTTATTATTGTCCCTAACATACCCTCCTTAGATCTTTCCACCATGAAGATGCAAATTTACGGCATCTCTACCATTATGATTTTCTCATCCCCGTACTTAGAATCCAATGTCTTCCCCCACAAACTATCATTTTAGTGGAAGAGGCCCCACCTCCATTTTCCCAAAAGTGAATCATTAAAAATCTCAATGTCTTTCACTCCCAAGCCCCATGAGATTTTGGACAACAAATCTTTGTTGGAGTTATTTTATGGTATTTGTTTGAGGGGATATTTTATGAAGATTATTTTTATAAGGTTATTACACAAGTATACTCCACAATGATGAGATATTGTCCGTTTTGGGCCTAAGCCCTCACGGTTTTACTTTTGGTCATCACCCAAAAGGTCTCTATAATATTGGAGTATGTGTGTACTTTATAAGTTGTTATTTTTTCTCTTATTTTATTGATGTGGGACTTGTTTGTATCTCAACAATCTTTTCACATCTTATTCACGAACTTTTCTTTCTTACCTCATCTATCCCCCATAAGAAATTCCTCTAAATCGTTACAATTTTCTTAACTATCCACTTAGGCATATATTTTGAAGAAAGAGATGAAGTACAAAGGTAAGATAGTTGAGACTGAATTTATTATGTGCACCCTTCCAACCATAGAAATAGACTTACTCAGTGACTTCAGCAATTTCCGGTTTGATTGGGTCAACTAGTAGCAACAATGTGTGGGATCTTCATGTACACATTTTCATTTAATTCACTATGGAAAAATGTCTAGTTGTTGAATTATCCACCCATTAATAAAATTAAGAGCTAAAAAAAGTGTAAGGTGATCATTTAGGCAATTGGGAAAAAAGTATCAAAATAGTAAATTCTTTCTGTCTGTGTACCAATTATAACTAACATTTAATCTTGTGTCACTTAATGGACTTGTCAAATTTTAATTTTATTTTATACACCTGTTTAGCACCAATAGGTTTGATTCCAATAGGTATGTTTGTGAAATTAGCATCTACCAATTTTGAATTCATAACATCTACCCGACATTGATGCTAAACAACCTTGTCATAAGTGGTAAGTTTGGTAGTGTTGCTAAGGTACATAGGACATGGTTTTATGTTTTGGTCGAAGAGTATAATAAGAAAGAGGCTATCGAATATTTGGATATATTACTGCTAATGGAATTACAATGATAATATGCAAGGTGTGTAGGTGGCATCTTTGTTCATGATGAACATCTAAGATGGACTTAAGAAACAAGTAGACGAATGGTTGGTCAAGGGTCATTAGACTGCTTTGTGCTTATAGGAAGAAAGAAATGTGACTACATATGTAAAACACGAGGTTATCTATTGAGCAACTATATAAGGGTTTGTTTCTATGCAAAGGAACACCAATTTATCAATTTATGGAACATGACATCTCATGAAACAACCACCTTCTTAATTTGAAGGTCATAAGCAATCTAACCTTTAAGTCCAAATTTGAAACCTAGAAACACACACTTACATGCTTTTACGTACAAGCCTAAATATGTGAATTGAGAGTGTTTATTTGTAAGAAAAGGAACAAAAAACTTTCAAATTCTCCACATCAAGTAAATCCCTATAAAGAACCTTATGTGATGATTGGTCCTTAAGCAAGATCGAAGGGGCCATATTAATAAAAAAATGTAAAATTGCATAAATCCATAAGTATTTAAGAATGTTAGACTACAACATTAGAGCTTAAGTCAAGTTTAAAATATGTTGGTGTTTCCTTTATACACATGCATTTTGTTGAGGTGTGATTAGAGTTTAAAGAAACACAATGATGGGGTTGAATGTGTGTGTGTAAGTTTTAAAACTTTTTTTGCAAATGAGCAATATAAGTTCGTAAAACCTTCTCTTCCAAAAAAAAAATGTGAGGGAACAAGAGATAAGAACAAAACATGTATTTTTATACTAGTTCACCTAACCTAAGCTTCTTCCAATCACCTTTAAACTTGAAGGATTCCATTAGCTTAGAAACTTTTTACAAGTATTCTCTATATCATTCTTAACCTATAGACACAACCAATTATTACAATATTCTTTAACTAGTCTCTTTAGACTTATATAGTTAAAAGGTTTTGAGTGTTTATAGAATAACCTTCAAAGAGAATATGTATATGTTCAGTACACTTAGAAAAGGTAGCTTGCTATGGCAAGGTTTGCTAACTTTGGTACTTGTCAATTGATCATCCATTGGATGATGGTTACACGACTTAGAGAAAATATCAGAGTTTGGTCACAACTAAAATGTTTTTAAAATATTGACTATGTTTAACTATTTCTCTTCAAGTCTTCTTATAATTATAGACTTCAGAAAAGTATTTGTTATTGAGAGCCTTTGTCACTTGGTCATTTGAAGTGTGAACTTTGATCTTCACAAATTTGGTCATTTTTTTATACTTTTTCAAAGCTTCAAGTCTTCATAAATGCATAGGCATGAAAAAGGAAGGTGTGGAGGAGATAAGGATTGAACTTTTTGTTTTAGGTGTTGAAAGTTCTATTTGTAGTATGACTTTCCTTTTCTAGACACTATGTTAGATGTTTGTCTCACTGGACCATTTTGAACACATACACAAATAAGGAAATAACTCATAATAACATTTATAACGCATACAAAAAATTAGAGTACTTATCATATATGTTTTTTAAATGCTTGAAAGCAAGTATTAAGGCACAAAGACGATCAACAAGCATTGGACTTGCAAATACTTAGAAGGCACACCAACTAATTACAACACATTAGACAAATGAAAATAATTTTGTCTTTATTTCTTCTATATTTTTAGACACATGTATCCTGTAATGACTTATACAAAAATATTAGAATCTTCAAGATCATTATTCTTAAGAAATAGATACGAAGCCTAATTCAACCTTACAAAATTGAGTTGTAAGGTAAGAACTGCTTTTTCACTTATATAAACTAGTATGATCTTTACTCTAATCAATGAGAGATCTCTGACAGTTATCATCAAAACTAGTAAATTAGGCACATATTATCCTATTTGGTTCAGCAATGATCACACATGTTTAGTGGATGATTCCCTTAGCACCATACAAAGATTCATAGAGTAACTCAAGTTCATTTTCATTGTAGATAATCTTATAACAACATTGTTAAATTGGTTCTTAAATTTTTCTATTGTGCCTACATCTTATGCTTTACTCTCATCATTATTATTTAGGTGAAATTATTAATGATGGTAAGAAAATGTTGACAATTATAGATGAAAATGTGCCTTAAATGTCAACATGCAACATTTCAAAACAATTTTTAGCCTTATCTGTACTCCTAGTAAAAGAAAGGTTTCTTTGTCTTGTGAAATGTCAAACATCACAATTTTCATTATGCATGTGAATAAAAAGAAACAATTTACAAAGTCTAGATAATTAATTAGAAGATAAGTATTAAGCCAAAGGCGTAGGGAAAACAAAAAACAAACTAACTAATGTTCAACCAATAAGAGAAAGAAAGTCCAATCTAGTAAGGAAAAAATAATACAATAAAGAACATGTGTTGGTATGTTAATAATTTAGCAATGTATTAGAATATCAATTGTTAAACTTTTTTTTTATCATTAATTGATATTAATTACTTTACACTTGTATTAAAGTAGTTAATTCCAATTTAATTCTTCTAAATGTCCATTTTTCACTTGTTAACTGTTTACTTCAATTTTTTTGTTATGAAAATCAAGGTGTAGAAGATAAATCCAAGAAAAAGGTGGTTGTTATCACAAGCACAATTTCTGCTATTGTTGTTATGCTATTAGTTTTCATATTCATTTGTCGGAGCAACAATACAAAAATCAAAGGTAAGCCTTCACTTAACCCACCTTATCTTTCCATGATGATTAATTTATGAAGTATTTTCATATAAATGCTAATGCATCTTCAAAACAGACATATGAAGACACTATATACCATTCTTATGTTCTTTCATATTGAAATCAAAGAAAAATGTATAATCATATTCCTCATATATATTATTGTATTGAAATATTACTATTTTTCCTTACCTCTTACTTTAAAAATGACCAAGATTTATTTTCAAAAAAAATATTTTAACTAAGAACAAAATACATATCATAAACTTTAAAATAATACACCTCAAAAGACAACTCTATTAACATGTATTGGAATAGAAGATAATGTTTTTAACTCAAATTATTTGTGAGAAAATAGATATTATCACTTGGATAAAAGAAAACAACAATGAAAGGAAGCAAGAGGACTTTGAGCTACCTTTGTTTGACCTTGCCTCCATAGAACATGCCACGGATCACTTCTCACATCACAATAAGCTCGGTGAAGGTGGCTTTGGTCCCGTATATAAGGTAAGAAAGTAACATAATACTAACAATTAAAAATGACTATTTTCATGAAGTTAATGGTTATTTGCCAAATTTAACTTTCTTTCCCACAAATGGGACATGTTTAGGGAACACTACACGATGGACTAGAGATTGCTGTTAAGAGACTTTTACAAACATCACAACAAGGATCAAAAGAATTTAAGAATGAGGTTATGTTATGTGCCAAACTTCAACACAGAAATCTTGTTAAAGTGCTTGGATGTTGCATTCAAGAAAATGAGAAATTGCTCGTCTATGAATTTATGGCTAATAAAAGCTTAGACTTCTTTCTTTTCGGTTAGTGTTCTACAAAAATTAATTTTTAGTTGAATGTGGTATTTCATTTCATTCTTATAGTTCTAGAAAGATTAAAAAAGATAACCAAGAAATTTGACAGATTCAAGTCAAAGTAAACTTCTTGATTGGCCTAAGCGTTTTAGCGTTGCAAATGGAATTGCCCGGGGATTACTTTATCTTCATCAAGACTCAAGACTAAGGATCATACACAGGGATCTTAAGGCAAGTAATGTTTTACTAGATAATGAAATGAATCCAAAAATTTCAGATTTTGGGTTGGCTCGAATGTGTAGAGGAGATCAAACTGAAGGAAATACAAACAGAGTAGTTGGAACATAGTAAGTATCTATTTTAATGCTAATTTCTTTATTACATATTAGTTGATCATCAAATTAACTCTTCTGTGATTTCTTTTAAGTGGTTATATGGCACCTGAATATGCTTTTGCTGGAATATTTTCCATCAAATCAGATGTTTTTAGCTTTGGCGTATTATTACTTGAGATAGTAAGTGGCAAGAAAAATACAGGGCTTTCCTATCCAAATAGTTACAGTAATCTTATCAGACAAGTAAGTGAATTAGTACTTATTTTTATACAATTTGACAGTAGATACTCATTATTTTAAAATGTTTTAGGCATGGAGGTTGTGGAAAGATGGCAATCTAATGCAATTTATTGACTCTAATTTAGAGGATTCATGCATTCTATCTGAAGCCTTGCGTTGCATTCATATTGGTCTTTTGTGTGTGCAACATCATCCAAATGATAGGCCAAACATGGCATCTGTGGTTGCTTTATTAAGTTGCGAGAACGCATTGCCTCCACCAAAGGATCCTAGTTACTTAATAGAAGAAACCTCAACTGAAAGCGAATTTTATTCTAAGAATTTGACATCCTTGTCAAATAATGATGTCACTATTTCAATGTTAAGTGCGAGATAGATGACATTACCTTACTTAACTACACATTAACTGTTCTATTTTTTTCAATTCTTAGTAACTTTTGTAATCTTATTTGCTAGTTTTATTGAAATGTTTCTCTTTATGAACTTTTGTTAATACAATAAATATTTGATTTGATAATTTATAAGGTTTCTCTTTATTTAAGACATATGATCAACACATGTAATGTTGCTTGAATTATTGAATTGATATTAAATGGCATGTGCATTATCTTTTTTATAGAGCAAATGTTTGTATATATTTAACTAAATTCTTAAAATTATAAAATGACATTCAAATTGAAATAAACAAAACTTTCAAAAGGAGTATATCCATAATGACATGACATAATGTATATCATCAATAGTCATAGCACATCAACGATCAACTAACAACATCACACAATTAACTAATGAATTGATAAATATGTAAAATTTGAAAGTAATGTGATTGTTCCGGCCAAAGGGTGGACTAGGGTTTCTTCCTAGGTCAAGCCTCAAAGCTAGAGCATTCAAAAGTGTAATCTGCCCTCTCAACTCTAGGGTTTTGGGTTTTATAGTTTCTCGTTCATGGGCCTCATGGGCCCCGAGAGTAAGGGGATTTCCTTGACCGTTCTTATCGGAAAGATACTTGGTGAGTGATGGTTGGACCTTGCCCTCGCTATCGGATAGCTTCCATACAGGCAAATCGGATCCGGCCCTGGCCGATCAGATCCATATTGAGGGTATAGTCGGGTATTGGCCGAGTACCCCACTTATAGGCAAGTACGGTCGGACCGCGACCGACTCGGCTTACGCGGAGATGCCAAGTCGGATATTTGCCGATTGACTCTTAGTGAGGGAGTCGATCAAGTTTATAGTCGGTCAATCGCCGGTAGAGAGGTCAGGTCAGATTCTGACCTGGACAGCCCACTTGCCTTCCAACCCTGAGCCTATAAGGCGAGAGGGCTTGAGGCCTGGCTTTTGTGGTTCACAGTCAGATATTGACCGAGTGACTCTTAGCGAGGGAGCCGATCAAGGTTATAGTCGGTCAATCGCCGGTAGAGGGGTCAGGTTAGATTCTGACCTGGACAGTCCACTTGCCTTCCAGCCCTGAGCCTATAAGGCGTGAGGGCTTGAGGCCTGGCTTTTGTGGTTCACAGTCGGATATTGACCGAGTGACTCTTAGCGAGGGAGCCGATCAAGGTTATAGTCGGTCAATCGTTGGTAGAGGGGTCAGGTCGAATTCTGACCTGGACAGTCCACTTGCCTTCCAGCCCTGAGCCTGTAAGGCGATAGGGCTTGACAAGCCTTGGAGTTGGAAGAATTTCCTCATACGGGGTTCAATCGGATTTTGATTTGGGTGATGCCCGATATGCTGAAGATGTAAAGTCTTTCATGGCTTGTCTCTTGAAGAGACATGTATTTATTGTAGCGCCACCGTCGCAGGGGGCGCATTATTACAATGCCACGCGTCCCTTGGTTTGCGTAACGTGAGCACTTGGGATCCCAAGGGTCAGAGACGCGTCCTTTCACACGCGCCTCTTCCCACGCGCACCCCCCAGGGCTATAAATATCCCTCGTTACTAACCTAGTTCACCATTTTGTCTTTCCCTTGTTTTCTTCTTCTCCGGCGGGTATTTTCCTTCTTCTGCGCTTCGTTACGGTGGTTTGCGACGGTCGTGAGGCATTTTTATAGAGGAAAGGAGGTGTTTTTGAGACTTGTAGGTACGCCCCACTATTTATTGCGCTTAGTAGTTGTTCTTTGTCTACTATTGTAGTTGTGTGGCCCTAGGCTTTTGAATCCATGGAGTCCGTAAATTATAGGGGGGTTATGAGTGGGTGAAAGATGACGTTCTGAAATGTGAGTCTTGTATAAGTTCTTGGGTCATGATGGATAGTTTCAACAGCGAAACGTAGTGGGCCGAGGTGTTGAAAATATCCTTGTGTGTGAGCCTTGTGTGGATAATGAACCGGTGTGTTTAAGCTCAACCACCGAACGTTTTACCTTTTGTTATGCTACTCTAATTGCTAAACTCAAAGTTAGGTGGCCTCTCACCGAGTGCGAGAAAGGGGTGCTTAGGTCTTTAAATGTGGCTCCAACCCAGTTTCACCCAATTAGTTGGGCCTTTGTTAGGGGTTTTGAAATTTTGTGTAGCGGATTCGGGATTACGCCGACTTCAGAAATTTTTTTTTACTTTTTCGAATCTCGAATCACTAAGCGTAGTAGCTGGGTATCGGTGAGTGGAGTGTTGGGTCGGGGGTTGCTGTCCCTATTCCAGTCGTCCTACAAAGATTTTAAAAAATCATTTTTTCGTATCCGATGCCTGCCCGGTCATGAGGATGTGCTTGAGGGATATCCTCTATATTGGAACAAGAACACAACATCCTTTGGTGGTTGGATTCCGAGTCACTCTCCGAGGAGGACCGGGAGGACGTTAAGAAAATCAAAGCTCTTAAAACCCTTTTCAACACCGCCAAACTCCTAGATCTAGAGAATAGGCCTGAAGATTTGAAAATATATATAGGTATTACGTTAATTGTTTGAGTGCTAGAATTTATCCTCTATTTTAACCTTACTTGTTGTTATAACTTATTGATGTGTTTTTGTAGAGAGAATGGCTAGCATGAGCAATCAGGAATTGGCAAAGCTATGGAAGCAGCAGAAAGCTTCCCAGGTCGTTGGGGTTGATGAGTCGGCTACCGAAAAGGTGGGTGAGACCGAAAGACCCGTGACACTGGAGAGAGGTGTCGGCGAGACTTCCCACAAGCATCACCGAGAGACCGACAAGTCCATCTCGGTGGTAAACTTGGAGACGTTGATAGCCACCGAGGTGAATAAAGGCGATACCGAGGTCCAATCGGCTGAGAGGACTCTAAGTGCATGTCTCGGCGATAACTGGGATCCAGTGGATTGTGGCGTCGAGCGTAGCGGTGTGGCATCCTTTTGGGACGAGAAATTCAATCATTCGGCTCATATCTGTGGCACCGACTTGCTCGATGGTGACAAAGGGGACTTGGAGAAGATGAGTGCATTCTCCATTACAAAGGGGGTTGAATCATTGACCAATCGCCTGTCTGCCCTCTCACTTGTCAATGAGGATAAGATTCGTGGGTTGGTGCAGGAGACTAAGGTACAGGGGAAGAAGATTTCTTCCCTTGAGGAGAGCTTGACTAAAAGCAAAGCCGACTTCAAATGGGTATCCACTGAGCGGGACAAGTTGCTAGAAGGTCGTCATGCCTTTGACAAGGAAAAGATGGTGTGGCACGCTGAGAAGACGGTGATGGTGAAAGAGCTAGATGAGGCGCGCCTAGCCCGAGACAAGAGTGTCGATGCTGCTCTCGTCTTCGAGAATGAAGTGTCGTTGCTGAAAATTGAGGTTGAGAAGCTTCAATCTGAAGTTCATGCGGCCAAGGTCGACGCTATGAAGAAATTTTTTGCAGGCTTCGATGCGGCGACCTCCCAAGTAAAGTTTCTCCATGCCGACCTCGATATCGGCGGCATGGGGTATTTTAAAGAGATTGTGAATGGCGAGCTGGTGGATCCTCCTGAGGATGATTGATCTTGACTTTAGAAACTTATGCTTGTTTTCATGTTTTGTAACTTCTGTTGTGTTGCCTTTTAAAACTCTTATCATCTTGCTCTTGAAACATTTATGAAGTATGTTCCTTCTGCTTAATATCATGGATGATTGTGCTTAGATACTCGTTCTCACCCTAAAGTTGTCATGTGAATGCTGATTGCGTTTATTCTTACGTTTGGCAGATAAATCAAGGTTAAAACTTAGTAATTGAGATAAGAAAGTAGTTCGTAGTGTAAAATTGAAGTTTTTGTAATAACGAGCAATTGCCCAAATGCCGACTCAAATGATGAGTAAAAAATTTTCTAAGTTAAAAAATGAAACTTGGCCAAGTGATCGCCCAAATGCCGACTCAAATGGTGAGAAAAATTTTTTCTAAGTTAAAAATGAAATTTTCCCAAGCAAATCGCCCAAATTCTGACTACAACATTGAGTGGAAAATTTCCTAATCTAAAAATCAAATTTACCCAAGCAAGTCGCCCAAATGCCGACTTCAACACACTGAAATTTTTCTTAGTTAAAAATGAAATTTACCCAAGAAAATCGCCCAAATTCCGACTACAATATTGAGTGGAAAATTTTCTAATTTAAAAATCAAATTTACCCAAGCAAGTCGCCCAAATGCCGACTTCAACACATTGAAATTTTTCTAAGTTAAAAATAAAATTTTCCCAAGCAAATCGCCCAAATTCTAACTCCAACAATGACTCCAACAATGAGTGCCCTTCAAACTTGGGAACATTACCTTATTCCCAAAGAGTTTGTCATTCATAGTGACCATGAGTCACTTAAATATTTGAGGGGCCAAGGCAAGCTAAACAAAAGGCATGCTAAGTGGGTAGAGTTCTTAGAACAATTCCCATATGTGATTAAATACAAGAAAGGGAAAAATAATGTTGTGGCTGATGCCCTTTCTAGGAGACACACTTTGTTAGTCTCCCTTGGATCTCAAATCTTGGGATTTAATCACATTAAGGAATTGTATACTAATGATCTCGAATTCAAAGAAAATTATACCCAATGCTTAGCAAAGCCTCAAGGAGGTTTCTATATTTCTGAGGGGTACTTGTATAAAGAGGGAAGAATTTGTATACCCCAAGGATCTATAAGAAAACTCCTTGTTCAAGAAAGTCATGAGGGTGGTCTCATGGGGCACTTTGGAGTTGAAAAGACTGTAACCTTGGCCGACTCACTCGATTGTAACCTTGGCCGACTCACCCGACTGTAACCTTGGCCGACTCTCCCTCTCAGAGCCAGATACTGATCGACTCCCACCCATAAAGGCTTACTCGGCCATTATCCGATTGGACACTCAGTAAATGGCAAGGTCCCACCTTCACTCACCAAGTATTTTCCAGATTGTAACGGCTAAAGAGATCCCCATATTCACGGGGCCCATAAGGCCCGTGAACAAGAAACT